TCCCTCATTTCTCCAAAGAGACTGCAGATAATATTTCTTATATGATTAATCTACTTGAATTTCTAGATCATTTTTCCTTTGGTGGAATGTCTATACGAAACAATATACCCATACAGGGTATGAAGAGAAGGGTCTAGAGCAGTGGCTGTCAAATTATTAGATATACGGGGCCCCTCAAAAGCAGCATCTGATGTCTCCAAAGGGCTGCAAATAATATCCATTATATGTAATGCAACTAAAGACTGTCATAGACATACTGGAGGAAATGGTCAGAGAAGCTCTACATGAGTGGTAGGGGAAACTCAAGTCTTGCAGTCAGAGACTAAGGACATATACCTTGAAACTACTAAAATATTGTGATGGATGCTCGTCAACTGACCCCAGGAGTACAATGTTGAGGAACTCCTCAGCATTTGGACTCCTGGTTTCAGATGAGCAGCATCCATCTCTTCACTTGTATTAGCTGACACTGGAATCGCTCAGACACATGCTCCCCTCTTCTCACTTGCCGGTGGGGTGATCCTTTTTCTTCCATCCCAAGTTTGGAGCGGCGCCATAAGGTATACTTTTCACTACTAAAAGATTATGGTTTTTTAAGGCTCCTTTACAAAGCAATGCTCCCACTACTGACTGCTGGGATCCAAGAGCCTCCCTTTAGAAAGGAACTACACTGCATCTGAGCACCACAAACTAAAAATGCTATTCAATTCATTTTTAATATTCAAAGCAAACTCCCCCATCCATCCATGTCTCCATGCTTTATTTTGAGGAGAATTCGCTTTGAAAAATGCCCCCTAACTTTTCTGGCCGCAGCCATCTTGAGTAAGGGCAGACGATTCATGCAGCATTTACTTCCTGGAATCCATCTGCACTTAGCTCAGGCATGCAGGCAGCAGGGTGTGCTTAGCTAAGAAAACCCTTCCTGAAGACTCCTGCGATGTATGATATCATTTGCCTAGGCCTGGAAACCAGGATGTAAGTGAAGGAATATAAAAAAAAAAAGTTTAAAATTGTTAAGTATGATACTGTGTATTTTCCTATCTATTTACTTATGATAACAGTGTATGGATTAAAAATAATCAATGTTGATTGAGAGAGTGACTTTCCACTTTAAGCACCAAAGGGCCATATGTGGCATTTGGACCGAAGGTTGGGCTCCAGGGGTCTAAACAAATCAAACAGCCCTCAACTGAACAAGTGAGTAGCACAGTAAAGCAACACGAGATATTCTCACTCCTCCATCTCATATCCAAAAAATGAAGCTGATTTTTCCTCATTTCAGGACGATGAGCGGAGCCACGCAGATCATTGTCTTATGACCCATCAGCCAGGTGCACATCCAGATCCAGTAGTGTACAGTACAAATATAGCCCAATATTATAGAACCATTCATTTTAAACTGCAAACAGCTATTTCAGGCTTTTGGACAATCATCAGTACAATGTATGTAAATCATGGCTTCTATGGAGTAGGACTTGGGACCCAATGAGGCAGTATAACTTTGCAAGTGAGAAAGGGCTAAAGCAGTGGTTGTCAACTTATGAGCTAAAGGGGGCTTCAAATGCTACCCCTGACATCACCAAAGGGCTGCACATAATGTTCAATATATGTAATGCTTGAGAGGACTATCAGAAACTGTACACTTGATAGCGCAAATGAGGGTTTGAGGGTGTGGACATGCTACATTTTTGACTGGGGGTATGCTGCAGAAGACAATATTAAGACATGTTAAATCAGGCTAGTAGAGATCAATGATATTGCCCTAATCGGTGTTGACCCTCTAAACCGCTGAGGTTTGAGGCAGGGGTGGACTAACCATTGGGGAACTCAGGCACTGCCCGAGGGCCCGGGGTCAGTAGGGGGCCCCATGAGATGCCCCTGGTACCTTTCATAGGCTTTTTTTGGTGTGATTTGATTGTGGGCGAGGACACAGGCCTCATGATCCCCTATTGCCCAGGGGCCCCATAAGTTGTCAGTCCGCCCCTGGTTTGAGGGCCACAGTCCTATACCATAAGGCTGCAGGTTGGGCACCAGGAAGCTAACAGAATCAAAAAACCCTTCAAATGCGGGTTCTTGTTAGCAGATTTCCCCCCCTACTCCACCTAAAACTGAGGAATACATTTGAAGAGGAGGGCCTCTTTAATTTGTGCATTTGTGTTACTGACAGGAAATGGAGAGCTGGAGGCATTGAAGCAATTTGTTGGCTTTATTAGTTGCGCATATAGGTGCAGCTGGTGCGATCATATAAAATAAATATTCTCCATCAGAAATGTCCGCTCGGAGCTGTCTGGGTGGGATAAGATGAGACTCGGCTGGCAGGGGAACGTCTGAGACATGCCGACTCATTTAATATGCTGCTCTTTGCTTTTCAGACGCAGCTCATAGATCTGTCTACTGTAGATGTGATCCTAATCTCTAACTATCATTGTATGATGGCACTGCCATACATCACCGAGCACACGGGACTCACCGACACCGTGCCCATTGTGCAGATCGGCAGGTAAACCCACAGAAGAGAACAATTATTTCTATTGTATTTCTTTTAAGTTTTGATTTTTTTTCCAATACTACAAATTTCTATTTATTTATTTATTTTGTTTATATTCTGTATAGAGTACATCTAAGTATTCACATCAGTCCCTGCCCCAGAGGAACTTAAAGTAAAAGTCCAGGCCCTAACTAAGCCTAAAATGGCTCATACCCCTCTCCTTATCATTGCCTATTCTGAGGGCGCATCAGTCTGTTCATGTGATCGGCTCCCAGCGGTGGCTTCAGGGGATAGGATGGACAGTAGACAATGGATGCCCCATAGTAAGCCTATAGGTGACATCACTGAGCAGACGTTCCATCCATTGCAGGCACTCTCTCCTCTCCCCTGAAACCGGATGCTGGGGAGATCATGTGACCGGTCACAATACCCTGAGAATAGGTAAGTATAAGCATCTTTCTTCTACAGGGTGGTTAGTATAGGAGTTAGAAGGGGGGTGGTAGCTGGTTTAGTCTTTGCTAATTAGAGCCTGGAATTCCCCTTTAAGCTGGCCATAGATGGATTGAAATTCGGACAGTTCAGCAGGGACCAGCAGAATTTCGATCCATGTGTTCCTGTCCCTTTTCAACAGAAGTCGGCTGTTAGATCACCTTCTGTCAAACGGACAAGCCCACTGGCTAAATGATAAAAAAAGAACTAATCATCTTTTGCCAGCCAACTTTATACGCATGATCTTATCACAGTTCTATAACTAGGCACTTATACATTTAAAGAAGTGACCCCGAGGAAGTCACGAGACCACGTGACGTAACGCGTAGGTACGTCGACACGCAGCTTCCGGTGCAAGTGACGCACTTCCAGTGGAGGACGCCATCTTAGCATACCTAGTACACCCAGGAAATACCACATGGATGCAGCATACCCACACACAGCAGGAGGAAGGGACTGCATGTTCATGTGAGTGTACTTCTTTCATTTTTAATAAAAAGACTGCATTAAATACTACACTATGGAGGATCTTTTTTATTACTCACTGATATTGTGAGTAATACATCCCACAGAGCACCTGATTAAGGGCAGAGGAGGAAGTATTGGAGGAGGAACAGGAGATCATTTATCCTTGGCTTTCTGGAGAGTGATCAGTCGCTGATGTAAAGGATCGAGAGTGATCCTGAATGCTTGTTTGGCCAAGTATAGGAGATGAGGAGGCACTGCAGCTGGAGTGGATTTAAAGTGTGCTGGCACTTGCACAAAGCTATCACTTATCACATATTGCATGGTTTTGAGAACACTAAATATTTGTGATATATGGACTTATAAGTGTTTGGATTATAGGTTTTTTTTTGAGTATGAATAAGGACACTTAACATGAGTTTATTTATTGGATATTCTGTGTGTTTATCACCAATTTAGGTCATCAAGGTGATCCTTACACCAGTGTTGTTCACTTTTTTTGTGTTATCACATTTATAGCACTTTATTATATTATATATTATATGTTTAGTTATTTGTATTAGTTAGCGCTGCACCATTTACTATATTGCTGTATGGTTTTGGCCATTGTGCTGCAGCTTAGTTTCAGGGTCTTGGCAATCTTCTTATAGCCTAGGCCAGTGATGGCGAACCTTTTTGAGCCCGAGTGCCCAAACTGCAACACAAAACCAACTTTTTTATTTCAAAGTGCCAACACTGGAATTAATCACTTGCCTACCGGGCACTTCTACCCCCTTCCTGCCCAGGACAATTTTCAGCTTTCAGTGCTGTTGCACTTAACAAAGACAATTGTGCGGTCATGCAACACTGTAACCATATGCAATTTTTATCATTTTTTCACACAAATAGAGCTTTTTTTGGTGGTATTTAATCACCACTGGGTGTTTTTATTTTTTGCACTATAAATGAAAAAAAAGAGCAAAAAATTAAAAACATAAAAGGGTTCCTTTGCTTCTATTCTAAAATTTTGCAAACAGGTAATATTTCTTCTTTGATGTGCGTTGGTGAGGCTGCACTGATAGGCAGCACTGATGGGCATTGATGAGGCGGCACAGATAGGTAGCACTGATGGGGCGGCACTGGTGAGCATTGATGAGGAGGCTCTGATGATGCACTGATATGCAGGAAATGATGGGCACTGATAAGCGGCACTGACAGCACCAACTGGAGGCACTGACAGACGGTACTGACCGGCGGCACTGCTGGGCATCATTGATGGGTGGCACTGATGGGCAGCACTAATGAGGTGTCACAGATAGGTGGCACTGATAGGCGACACTGATAATGGGTACTGATAGACAGCACTGATAGGTGGCACTGACTGACATCACTGCTGGGCACTGACTGGCACAACCGCTGGGCACTGACTGGTGGCACTGACTGGCAGCACTGCTGGGCTGCACTGATGGGCACTGGTGGGTGGCACAGGTGGGCACTGGTGGGTGCATTGCTGGGCACAGGTGGGCGCACTGTTGGGCACAGGTGGGTGCATTGCTGGGCACAGGTGGGCGCACTGCTGGGCACAGGTGGGCGCACTGCTGGGCATAAGTGGGCGCACTGCTGGGCACACGTGGGCGCACTGCTGGGCATAGGTGGGCGCATTGCTGGGCACAGGTGGGCGCATTGCTGGGCACAAGTGGGCGGAACTTGTGTGTGGCACAGGTGGGCACCGATCATCAGGGCACTGATGATCAGTGACCCTGATGATCGGTGCCGATCCCTGTTCTGACAACTGCCGGTTTTCGGCAGTACTTTCCTCACGATCTGACAGCGTGAGGAAAGTGCAGCCGAGAACCGGCATTTGCATTTCCCGGTGATCAGCGTGTCATTGGACACGGCTGATCACGTGGTAAAAGGCCGCTGTGATTGGCCTTTTACCATGTCACGTGATCAGCTGTGTCCGCAGGACACAGCAATCACGGAGATCGCCCGGTGTGCGCCCCCGGAGGTGCGCAGGAGAGCGCGTTCTCTTCCTCTTCCTCTCTTCCTCCTGGCGTGCCCACTGAGATGGCTCTACGTGCCAGCTCTGGCACGCGTGCCATAGGTTCGCCATCACTGGCCTAGGCCATCTTTATATAGAGCAACAATTATTTTTTTCAAATCTTCAAAGAGTTCTTTGCCATGAGGTGCCATGTTGAACTTCCAGTGACCAGTATGAAAGAGTGAGAGAGATAACACCAAATTTAACACACCTGCTCCCCATTCACACCTGAAACCTTGTAACACTAACGAGTTACATGACACCGGGGAGGGAAAATGGCTAATTGGGCCCAATTTGGACATTTTCACTTAGGGGTGTACTCACTTTTGTTGCCAGCAGTTTAGACAGTAATGACTGTGTGTTGAGTTATTTTCAAAGAAAACAATAATTAATGCGATCAACCGCCATGGCCTGTGTGCACTCTCACCACGCAAGACTCCATTGCTGAAAAAAAATGCATGTTGAAGCTCATTTAAAGTTTGCTGCACAACATTTAGACAAGCCTGTGAAATACTGGGAGAATATAATCTGATTAGTTGAGACCAAAATTGAACTTTTTGGAAGCCATAATACTTACCATGATTGGAGGTCAAATGGCACTGCACATCACCCCAAAAACACCATACCAACAGTGAAGCATGGAGGTTGGAGGAATATCATGGTGTGGGGCTGTTTTTCAGCATACGGTACTGGCAAACTTCATATCCTTGACGGAAGCATGAATGGAAAAATGTGCCAAGACATTCTTGATAAAAATCTGCTGTCATCTGCCAGGATGATGAAGATAAAATGAGGGCGGACATTTCAGCAAGACAATGATCCCAAACACAAAGCCAAGGAAACTCTCAATTGGTTTCAAAGAAAGAAAATAAAGCTGCTAGAATGGCCCAGCCAATCACCTGACTTGAATTTATTAGAAATCTATGGAAAGAACTAAAGATCAGAGTTCATAGAAGAGGCACACAGAACCTTCAAGATTTGAAAACTGTGTGGAAGAATGGACCAAAATCACACCTGAGCAATGCATGCGACTAGTTTCTCCATACTGGAGGCATCCTGAAGCTGTCATTACCAACAAAGGATTTTGTACCAAGAATTTAATAAATTGCAGTTAGCGTGTTCAATATTTTTTCCTATGTTATTCCATTTTATTACACGTAACTTAATTATTGAACTTGTTTGTTTTGGTTTCTTTTATGTATGAATTGCATGAGTTGTTACCGACGTGGTGAAAATTTCAGTAGATGGTGGACCTGGTTCTTTTTAAAATGGAGTTCTGCCCTCAGTACTCAGGTGAGATACGCTCCACATTAGCTCTTCCAGCTGTTTTGGCCTGTTTTCGTTCTCGGACTTGGGGATAGGAAGGAGAAATTGTGGATGATCTATGTACCTGTGTTGACCCCTCCTCTTGTCCCTATAGCAGGGGTGGGCAACTGTTGCCCACCAGCTGTTGTGGAACTAAATGTCCCACAAAGCATTGCAAGATAACAGTTACAAGCATGACTCCCAGAGGCAAAGGCTGATGGGAAGACTGATAGTTACTCCAAGAGGCAGAGGCATGATGGGACTTGTAGTTTTGCAACAGCAGGAGGGCTGCAGTTGCCCACTCTTGCCCTAGAGGCTAGAGAATGGCTACCTGGATATGTAGTTTCTATAAGGCCATCTATTGCTGATGCCTTGTGGTCTTTAGTTGGCTATGACCTTTATATTCAGAAAGAGTTCCAGTGGATGGTGGGCCTTGTAGAGTGAAGTAAAAAAAAAGATATTGGCAGCCTGTTTTGATGTGGTCTATGATTATTGGAAAAATAAGATTTTCTTAATTTTTAGCTTTCTTTTTGGACTTGCCATTATAGTAGATGTAAACCTATTTACTAAAATGTCATATAAGCTTTAAGATCTTGAAGTAATTTCAAAAGTACTTTAATTGACAGCATACGCCATATCTGCTTAGATCTTCTATAAGGCACACACCTGTTAACATCTTATGAATAAGAATAGACAGAAGATATTGGTAATACCCTACCATAGTCAAAGAATATTACATTTGTAGAACCCAGAATGGATTAGTGTGATTTATTTAACAACCAGGACACCCGTTAGTAATTGATATATAAAAGCCCTTAATAATTATTTTTTTATTTTTTCTATGTCCTAAGGCTGAAACGACCCCTGCCACCTGATATAGACGATTTATAATATTCTATTATAAACACACACTGAAATAACGCTGACTGGATTTTTTAACTATTGATTAAAATCAAATCACAATAAACAGTGATTAAATTGTAAAGTAACATTATTAATGGATGGGTCACAGACATGTCTATGTATCAGATTATACAACCATGATGATACCAACAGCAGGAACGAGCAGCACATATAATTATATCATATGGCAATGGGTGCAAATTATTATATGGTACAAGAGATGAATAGACTTGGTAGATAAAATTACAGTGAAACACAAAAGAGGAAGGAGCTTATAATTCTTTTCAAACCTACATGAAGATTGTATTGTGTTGAAGCAGCATAGATTGCGCACAGCTATAATCAGATGTTGGCAAACACATGGTGTGAAGCAGAAGAGTGGGCTGCAAAATGTGTATCCAGAAAGAGTGCCATGAAAAGTTTTACCCCAAAACTTTAGTCTCTTTTTTCTGGTTCTTATTTAGTAGGTTATAGTTCACTTTGATAGTCGGCATCCAGAGCTGTCTGTGGCTACGTGCTGTGATCCAGTCTGTCTGTTTGCAAATCCCATTACTTCTGATCTTCAACATGTGGGTATACTGCAGCCCAGAGGAGGTTTTACACTATACAAGCAATTCTCAACCTTTTTTTCAGTCGGGCACGCTTTTACAGTATAAGTATGCAAACTCACAAGGCTCCCCAGTCTAAAATTAAAAAAATGTAAATGTTACTTATCAATGGGAAACCTGAGCCTAGGATGATGCACGCAACCTCCTTGGGGAAATTAACATCACATCAGAGGTCCTCCCATCACATCAGCGGGCCCCCCATCACAGTAGAGGTCCTCCCATCACACCAGACATCCTCCCATCACACCAGAGGGCCCCCCCATCACATTAAAGGTTCTCCCATTGCATCAGAGGTCCCCCCATCACATCAGAGGTCCCCCAATCGCATCAAAGGTCCCCCAATCGCATCAGAGGGGCCCCTCATCACACCAGAGGTCCTCCCATCACACCAGAGGTCCTCCCATCACACCAGAGGTCCTTCCATCACACCAAAGAGCCCCCCATCACAGTAGAGGTCCTCCCATTACATGAGAGGGCCCCCCATCACAGTAGAGGTTATCCCATCACATCAAAGGTCCTCCCATTGAATCAGAGATCCTCCCATCACATCAGAGGGCCCTCATCACAGTAGAAGTCCTGCCATCACACCAGAGGTCCTCCCATCACACCAGAGATCCTCCCATCACATCAGAGGGCTCCCCATCACAGTAAAGGTCCTCCCATCACATCAGAGGACTCCCCATCACAGTAAAGGTCCTCCCATCACATCAGAGGTCCTCCCATCACATCATAGGCTCCCCTTTATGTCTCCCAATCACATCACTCCATCACCTGAAATGTTGGTCTATTCAATAATATAATAACCTACATTGTATTTGGGTGACCAGGGTTTTGGCAAAGTTTTTCTTTCAGATTCTTGCATGTCTTAAGTTATAGTGTTATTTCCAAAGGTGACACCTTTGTGTCATCAGCAAAAATACATACCTTTGTTGGGTAAGGTATGTCTTTTTGCTGATTACAAAAAGGTGTGTAACAGGGTTAATATCCCTGGAGGTGTCTGTAACATGGAACACAATTTGGCATTGCTGGAAAATTGGTCTAAAAAGTGGAAATTGCAGCTCAATGTTTCTAAATGTAAAATAATGTACCTAGGGAAAAAGAATCCCTTGAGAGAGTACATCATTGGGGGTGCAGTATTGGCCAGCATTTCAGAGGAATAGGACTTGGGGGCACTTATTTCAGATGATTGCAAAATGAGCAGTGTGGCCAGGCAGTGGGGACAGCAAATAGAATGCTAGGATACATCACTAGAGAGGTCACCAGCAGGAGGAAGGAGGTCCCGATTTCTCTATATAGATCTTTATATCACTAGAGGGATCACCAGCAGGAGGAAGGAGGTCCCGATTCCTCTATATAGATCTGTATATCACTAGAGGGGTCACCAGCATAAAAAGGAGGTCCCGATTCCTCTATATAGATCTTTATATCACTACATGGGTCACCAGATGGAGGAAGGAGGTCCCGATTCCTCTATATAGATCTGTATATCACTAGAGGGGTCACCAGCAGGAGGAAGGAGGTTCTGATTCCTCTATAAAGATCTTTATATCACTAGAGGGGTCACCAGCAGGAGGAAGGAGGTTCTGATTCCTCTATATAGATCTTTATATCACTAGAAGGGTCACCAGCAGGAGGAAGGAGGTCCTGATTCCTCTATATAGATCTTTATATCACTACAGGGGTCACCAGCAGGAGGAAGGAGGACCTGATTCCTTTATATAGATCTTTATATCACTAGAGGGGTCACCAGCAGGAAGGAGGTCCTGATTCCTCTATATAGATCTTTATATCACTAGAGGGGTCACCAGCAGGAAGGAGGTCCTGATTCCTCTATATAGATCTTTATAACACTAGAGGGATCACCAGCAGGAGGAAGGAGGTCCTGATCCCTCTATATAGATCTTTAGTGAGACCATTTAGAATACTTTGTCCAGTTCTGGAGACCTCACTTACAAAAAGATATTTATAAGATAGAACAAGTCCAGAGACAGATAACAAAAATGGCGAAAGGTCTTGGGGATAAAACATATCAAGAGCGAATTCAGGAACTTAACACGTACAGTCTGGAGGAAAGAAGGGAA